TTACCTCTGATGAAGATTGAAGGTGACCTGGAACCATAAGCTATAGCACCCCAAACCATAACTCCAACAGTGTGATGAACATGTCTTTCAACAAAAAACTGTGGATTCCTCCTTTCACCACGTGGCCTTCTAACCCTGGCACGACCATCGTGCATGCCTAAACAAAATCGAGACTCGTCACTAAAGACAATACTGTTCCATTCCTGATCCCAGAGTGACCGTTGTCTGCACCACTAAATGCGATTACGTCGGTGTTCTCGAGTTAAAGGGAGGACCCAGTGTGGCCGGTATGAAAACAAGCCAAAACTTCTCATTCGTCGCTAAACACTTCGCATGCCAATAGGTCTTCCGTGTTCTGCAAACCATTCATTTGCAATGGACCTGGTAGTGGAGAAACGGTCCCTTAAGGCCAATAATCTTAGGCGGCGATCTTCACGGTCTGTTGTTCTACGGCGGCGTCCAGTGCCCCTTGCTCTTTGCGTACGGCCTTCTCGAAGCCATGCCTGACAACACCTAACCACAGTGTCTACACTTCTTTGCACTCTAACTGCAATTGCCCGGAAAGAAAGTCCAGCTTCCCGAAGTCCCTCTATACGGCCCCTATCAAACTCACTAAGTTGACGAAATCGTACAGGTCTCCGTACTCTAGGCATCGTAACCGATCGTAAAGGATGTCAAGAACCAAAATCCGCCAACGTTGATTCTTTACTGCGGCTGAAATATTCATTTTTAGAGCGTTAGTGAATTAAAAAAAAGCAGTATAAAAACCGGAATGTCCAACTGATAAGGCTGAAAATTTTTTCACTTGTTATTTACAGTAAGATAAATACATTCACCAACTTTTATTAAAATAAAACCATTTAAACTGGGTGTTCGGATTTATATGTCACTTAGTATATTATTGAACTCAAATAACATGTTAATTAAAAAATTAAAACTTATCGTCTTCCACATATACACCTCTGTGATATAAATGTTTCTTTAAGTTTCTTATAAGTTTTTTATTTTGTTTTTGAAATCTCACACGTTTCAGTATCCAACTTATCCATGTACAGGCATTGCCCTTCTGTCATCTACTAGTTTTTGGAACTTAATATATCGGTCATTTCAAGGCGTTGGTGTATGCGTTACTGGGAAAATTTGCTTTTTGCTGCCAGACCTATACGCTCTGTAAAGCCCGAGATATAAGGACATCTTGTAAATGAACGTTCTTACGAATATTCTTACAAGGTACTTTTAGGTTTTCGGGAACGCAGTGTATTGGCAGGTACAATTCATGATGATCTTTCTTAGTTGCCTTCCGTCTTGCCTTCAAGTTTTCTAAGAGCTGCTCTATTCCTTCAATTATTGATGACAACATTTCCTGAAATCCTATATATAGAACCAGGTTCACATTTCCTCACTTTACTTTGAAAAGTTTTTGACTAAGTTTAGTGAATGTTGTTTGCTCTTTGAAAAAATGATGCACGGTAAAACAGGTAGCTTCATGGATTTGTGTATACAGCAGTACTTCGTTTTTTGTTTCCCTTTCACTGACCTACACCTAGCTCTAGTTCTACCGGACTAACGCCTAAGCGCGTCGCTCATCAGGCCGAGAAGAAGAGTCAGCTAAGATGTTATCTTCTGCGCACCACGAACCCACCTTTTATCTGATGCTGGCGTATGCAAATCTCTGTCGTGGAGCGTCGTTTTTTGCCCCTTCTTTCTTTTGTGAATACGTCTCTGTGTTGTCTTCCGGCCGTGCCGACGATTTTCTTGACTTTTGTCCCGACACTGTCTTGGCTTGTCTTCGCTTTGACACGATGCCATTGTTGAAAGTTCAGTAAATGGGGATAAGCAAAGGCATTAGGCAAAAACAAGCGCAGTTATAATAAAAAAGTGATTGATGAAAAAGTAGAATAATGTCTTGTACCTAATTAAAACAAAAGAACATGTTACATACGACTCCATTGTCTGGACGAATCGTTCCACATATATGCTTCAATTTCTGGTTATTATACGATGTTTCGCCTTTGTCAAGTACAATGGCAATTCATGACACTATATTTTGCTTATACATCTTTCAAGTGACAGTTCATTTATTCTTGTTCTTGCTATTCCACGCACTGTATAGGATAAATAGGATATACAGTGTGTTGAGACGATGGACTGGACCATAGCATGCTGAGATTGCGCGATGTCATCACAATTTTAATGTCTTGCGTAAGACCAGAAAAGTCTAGGATCACCTAGGTGGACTTTTCGCGTTCTCGAATGGCGTTTTGCGCTTTCGGGATGATGGGCGAGGATGAAGTGTTTGGTACACAAAAAAGATAACCTCATGCTCGATTGTGGCTTTGTGGGGCTCGATGTGCTTTGGAAACAGGAACGCCTACCCCAAGACCGTTAAATCTATTGTCGCAACAGACCGTATAGGAGTGAAGAACAGCAAAAATAAATTAACTGTCACCTAGGTGACAAGTAAACAAAACATACTGTCTTAAATTGTCATTGCACTTAGCCGACACGTCGTACAATAACCAGGAACCAGTCGATGGAGTCTTATGAAGATAATAAGCACAGGATAAGTTTCAACATTAAACTGTTACATGTGGGGTATTTTACAAGTAATTGAAGTTTATTTGCGTCAGCAATTTATATTTATCACCACCTTATTAGCTTTCTACCACTTCTATTCTTTCGAAAATGACCAAGAATCTCAAATGTCAGAAAAACCAAAGTCTGGTATGTTTATTTTGCCCGAAGGCAATGAAAGTATTATGAAAACACTTATGCTTCGTCATTCTTACCAATTTGTAGATATCCACTCGTTAAAATTAAATTAAATTAAAATCCGAGCCGAACATGGGAGAATACTTTAGAACAGATATTGATGAAAAGAGGAACGGATTGGAGAGAAGCTAAGAAACTTGCTTTACATATAAACCAAAAAGAATGGATCAAATTCATGTAGAAATAATAGTAGGTTTTGTTTAACACTACACCCTAAAGGGAAAATGGGATTTCGATTATATATATATATATATATATATATATATATATATATATATAAAATCTGAGCAAGAATTCATGAATAGCCAAAAATTAAACACTTGAGAATATCACTTGAACGGTACTAGGCTTGAAAAATCAAAAGGTCTTTTGATCCTTGTCAAAATATAAATTCTTTTTTAAATTGGTATTAAAACTAAACTCTTCAATAATATGTAACACCCGATACTTTATTCAAAAGAATACACCTTCGATTATTTATGAAAAACAATTTCAGCTGAATGGCTGTCGCGGCTGGAAGCACATTTTCGATCATTTGTGGGTCTATTTCATCGATAGCCCGACGGATATTTTCCTAAAGAATATCAATTGTTTGAGGATCGTTAGTGTAGCAGCGGTCCTTAACAGTACCTTATAGGAAATAAACCATGGGCGTCAAATCACAGCCACGGGCTGGCAAATTAACGTCTCCAAAACGGCTGATACCGCGATGACCGAACGTAAAAGATGGATTGTTTCACGGCTTGTGTGGCATTTTGCGCCATCCTGCTGGGACCAAAGATTGTGCAAGTGAATGTCGTCTAATAAAGGCCACAAAAAAGTCTTCAACATGTCTCTATAGCGTTTCCTGTTAACCGTCACGCTGTTACCATCTTCATATTGAAAAATTAGGGTCCAATTACCCCACCATTCTAAACAGTTACTCTTTTTGGATACATTGGTTTTTCTATGACATGTCGATTTTCAGAAACCCAAATCCTAAAGTGCTGCTTGTTAACGTAACCTCCCAGATGGAAATGGGATTAGTCGGAAAGGATGATTTGGCGACCAAAATTGATGTCCGTTTCCAATTGATTTAGAGTCCACACAGAGAAATGATATCGAAGCGGATGGTCATTTTGTTTCAACTCTTGCACAAGTTGCACCCTGTAAGGAAATAATCCCAGGTCGTTATGCAATATTCTTCGCAAAGAAGTGTGACTGATGACCAGTTGTTGGGTTCTGTGACGAGTTGACATTCTTGGGTTTAAACGCACACTCTGGGCAGCAATGTTTTTGGATGTACGTACGGGTCGAACACGCTCATACCCTCTGTTATCCACAAGCAGGCCAGTTTAACGAATTTTCGTATACCAGTCGCGGACGGAGCTTCATTCCGACCAAATAGTCTTTCGCAAAGTTTCTGGAACACAGCACTCACTTTGAAAATAATTTTTCAATATTTCCCACGTTTGTTCCAGATTAAAACGATCCAATATGTTGAGCATGGAAGCATTAGCAACTGTCAAAATAATACCAACTTGAAAAAAAACAAGTGATGACCCACCCTTTAGGTATTCGACAGTCTGTCAAAAAATAAGGTTCGCTCTATTTTCCAAAATAATTTTATATCCCAGAAAAAGTTCGTTTTTGTCTAACCTCAGTGTTAAAAACCTCAGAAAACTTGATTACTTTGCACGATATTTTTTGTACATTATCTCGATAAAAATAGAAACACAAATGCTTGTCGGCTGCGGGACAAAAAAATGACGCGAAAAATGTTTGAATATCACACCCCAAGTTTGAAACATAATATCTAAAAATTTAAATATTATTAATAGTTCAGTTAAATCCACCATAAGCCGAAAGCCAAGTTCAAATTTGAAGTTGGGAGTTGTAGGGGGTGGGGGAGTATATGTCATTATTTTGATGTTAGCAATTTATGTCTCCAACCCCGGTAATTTATACGCACCTATTAGACATATTTCATGCTTGCCCTTAAAACTTGCATGATAGAGATGTATTTTCGATATATGCGTGCTGGACAACGCAACGACAGTTCGTCTTCCTACTTCAAATGCGGTTGACAACTGATCCAGCAGTGTTGTCGAACCGAAAAGAAACAAAATCGGTAGACAGCGTCGTTGAAATTCGGTAGATTCAAGGACAAAATTGATAGGAGGACAAAATCGGTAGGAGAAATAAATCAGGGTCGTCACAAGATCAGCGATGGATCAAAGGACTTTGCGTCACAGAGCGCATTCTATGAAAAAAGTATATTTTTATATTGCGCACATATTTTTTCAAGGCATCTAATTTTGAAAAAAGATTAAGTACTTTAATTCGCAATAGTTCTATGGCCAATCGAAACCACATGTTTTAAAAAAATCTTCTTTATTGCAAACGTTTCTGCCTCGAAAGTGCCCTTCTTCAGCACAATGATTTCGACAATATATTTTATTTATTTGTCTTCCAGTTGACACCCAGGATAACACAGGATAACTTTCAGATGATACAAGTTCTTTATTACAACTTTGCAACCAATTTTTACCATTCTTGTTTATAAGATCCTGAATATTTTGCTGTTTCATGCCTGCACTTCTTCCTCATAACCGACATTTTAATTTAATATTTAATTTAATTCAGACTAGCTTTGGTTTCCTCATTACTTGACCGGTGATGCGGTAATGTCGGTAATCTACCAGTCTGTATCTGTTGTACGCACAAAAACCAATATAGGAAAGCGGAATAAGAGTTATCTGTACCTAATAATTTATTGTAGGCAACCCAAATATGTGTACGCCCCTTGTGAGCTCGTCTGCCTAAGTATACGCTTATGTATTACTGCTATAGAGTACAAAACTACATAGAATTCATTTTTTAGCTTTATATTTGGTTGCAGCTCTTTTTCGGTAAAATAAGGTCTCATTTCGGTAGAAATATCTTTGCGTGTATATGTCCGTGTATGCATCGCCGTGCTGCGTTGCCACGTTGCTGGGTAGTCGATTCTGTTGGTAGGGCAGCAGGCTAGATCGCAATGTTGTCATATATGTGGAGACTATCGACTAATATTGTACCAGCCTGTTTGATTGACATGATCCATTCAATACCTTTGTTATACATGATCGTAGAAATCTTTTTTCTAAGAGGAACTAACTGGTAGAGTAGCGTAGGAAGTTTTTATATCGCAACAGCCGCGTAGACAGAAACTTAAATACGGGGCACCGCGGTTGCTATAAAAAGCATAAATGCACTTTGTTAATCTGATTCCTGAACTGGTATTTTGAAATTCTTGATATAAAAGTGTCTAAAACACTGCTGCATCACTGTCGCTAAAAATATAATACGAGGTGCGCGGACCAGCTGGTAACTGGCAATGAAAATCCCGTCGCGTCGTTGCGTTTGGGAGTGACTTCATTTCCGGTTTGGCATGCCGCAACAGACCGCTTCCTGGAAGCAGGGAAACCCGCACCTTTTTTCATTGCTTTTCATTTCACGGCACACGCCTCTTATTAGACACGCTGTAGAGATGGGCATTTAAAAGCATATCAGTATCACATCGATGGAGGAGAAGTTTAGAATTAAGCGAGAATGAGCAAAAACTGTATTATGTTACATAGGCGATAGTTATTCGTGAACTACAGTAGAACCCCGATTATCCGTAATCCACTTTATCCCAAACATGTCGCATACAATAATTTCTCGGTTTTAACCGAAGTTGTTCGGGAAATCGGCGCATGATCGGAAATAGCCGCCGGTAGTTCCCCTTTCGGCGTTTGCGTCATTAGATTCGCTGCCGATGATTCCTCAAGCGCGTTTGCGGAACTCACTGGTATGTGTGCGTGTATGTTTGTTTCAGTCAGGTTCATAATCGCTAAGATGGAGCAGCATAGAAATAAACGCAAACGCATTGTTATTACCATACAACAGCAACTTGAGGCAATCAGGCATTTAGATAGAGGTGAGTTGCTTAAAAGCGTGGCAAGTGATTTGGATGTGGGCGTAAGTACCATTTCAGAATGGAGAAAACAACGCGAGAAAATTGAAAAGCGGACTAGTGGTCTGACATCATCGCAGCTGCCACGGAAAACTATAAAAAAGGGGGAATATCAAAAAGTGGATGATGCTTTATACACAGGGTGGCGCATCGAAAACGAAACAGACGCATTTACTGGCAGCTGTTTTTTTTTTTGGAAAAACGCTCAGACCCGTCGATTTTGTTTTCGAGGGGGACACAAGTTTAGCAAAAATCACGTTAACACGTGCAGCCCCCTGAGCGGGGGTGACACCAACCCTAAAATCTTAAATGGAAAGGTGGGTCGAGTGATACCTTAGTTTAAAGGTCTTTCAATTCCCTTTATAATGATGTAAAATACATGAGCTTCAGTGCAGTAGTTTTGAAGATTTATTGATTTAAAGCTTAAGGTAGACTTTAATAATAAAAAAAAACTAATAGGTACATCAGATAAGTTTGTTTGTTTGACTAAAAGGATTTACTTAATAAGTAAATGCTTTTCTTCACTACGCCCATGGTTTGTTTATCATTTTGTTGTTGAAAATAGCTATTGGAGCGTTTTTTTGTGGCAAAAAAGTTATTTCTTGAAGAAAAATAAGGAAATATCTCGTACTTATTTTAAATAGGAATTTAGTACATAGTTTGCGATTGATTTGACCAAACTTTGTTGCTAAAATAACTTGTAGCGCTTTATTACATAAATTAACCATGGTATATTCCACAGCAGAAAGAGTTGAATTTATCGAAATATTTTTCGGGAATAATCAGTGCGCTAACAGAACAGCAGAAATATTTAATGAGCGACATGAGAACAGTAACGTGCATCGAAAATATGTTCTTGAACTTGTAGCTAAATTTCGGAAAACTGGGTCAGTCGCCAATAAAAAACGCAACATTGAAAATGCCATAAGGAGCGAAGCAATAGAAGTGGGGGTTTTAGGGCAAGTTTATGTAGATCCTACGTTAACTACCTGCAAATTATCGACTGTGTGTGGTGTTAGTGGACGTATTGTCCAACGGATTCTAAAGGCCCATAGTTTTCATCCGTATAAAATTCACCTGGTACAAGAACTTAATGAAAACGATTTTGATCGGTGATTACAATTTTGTGAAGATATGAGTGAACGAATTATAAACGATGAACATTTTATATTCAACACTTGCTTTTCCGACGAATGTTCCTTTTTCTTAAATGGCGTAGTAAATCGTCATAACTGCCGATATTGGTCCGATTCTAATCCCAGAATTTATCATGAGGTTCATACACAGCAGCCACAGAAATTAAATGTTTGGGCTGGTATGTTTGGCGATCATTTAGTTGGTCCTTTTTTCTTACTCGGAAATTTGACCGGTGAAATGTATTTGGAATTACTGGAAGACGCAGATCCTGCATTAACAGCAAAAATTGAAAATCAGAATGATCGGCGGTACATTGCGAATAGGTTGATGTTCCAACAGGATGGTGCCCCACCACATTACGCATTACGTGTTCGACATTATTTAGATCAGACGTTTCCAGATCAATGCTATCCGCGTTCATTCAAAAATCGTTCTGTCTTTGGAATAAAATGATTGTAAAACCAGTCTTTAAATAGAGCGGCATCCATCCAGGCATTTTTTTGATTTTTATACCACACTAGAAGAGCGTTGGGGCGGACGTGTTTAAATGCTATTGGTTTAGCTGATTTTCAGATTAACGATAACGGAAGTTTGCGTGTGTTAAGCATTGCTACAAGCAAAGATAGTCACAGGTTTTTTACTGCGTTTGTAACTAGGAGCTCCACGTTCTTGTTTTGAAGCTAAACTTTTCACCGGTAACATTTTATAGTTTAGGCCCATTTCGTCGCAGTTATACATTTGTTCCGGATTTAAACCATACTAATTCATTCATTCTTTAAAATGATCTCCAAATTTTAATGCAGCGAACTTATCGGCCGATAAATTTTCTCCGCAAACTTTTAATTCCGTATACCGTGTCGTTTTTCCCATCTAAGCAGCCAACTATAACTGGCTGTAAAGTTATCAGGCGCCTCACTAACTGGCAATTCTTCACTTAAGTTGACTGCCCTTTGCTTTAGAATAGGCTCGGAAATTGGTATTCCACGTTCTCGATTCTATGTAAACCACAGATACAAAGCATCGTCACCTTTTTGATATTCTCCCTTTTTCATAGTTTTCCGTGATGGCTGCGATGATGTCAGAACACTAGACCACTTTTCAATTTTTTCGCGTGGTTTTTTCCATTCTGAAATGGTATCTACGCCCACACCCAAATCACTTGCCACGTTTTTTAGCAAATCACCTAGATCTAAACGTCTGATTGCCTCAATTTTCTGTTCTATGGTAATAACAACGCGTTTACGTTTATTTCTGTGCTGCTAATTATGAACCTGACTGAAACAAACATACACGCACACATACCAGTGAATTGCGCAAACGCGATCTGTGTCGGATAAAACGGATTTCGGATAATCGCGATTCGGATAATCGGGGTTCCACTGTATAGTATAAAAATACGAAAGAAGGCAATGTTTACATACAGCTGGCTATATTTCGTCTACCGCGGGTCCGCAGAACCTCGCAAGCATCCAGTCGGTCAACGTTCACGATCAGCATACGTCAACCGGCTATACGATAGACGCAGATGCTTTTGCGATTTGCCGTAATGAATGGTTCATTATTATGTTTCAGTGTCGCTATTCTGCGATTTCCCATGTGCCCCATGCACGTAGCCTGTTGATTAAAAATTTATCATCAGCGGATGTTTTCGATCGCGCTGCGCCGGGCAGTGTCAACAGAAACGCATCAATGAAAAACGAATGAGCACCAGGCTCGGTTCTCCTGATGCGTAAATATAAAGGTCTGAGCAACAGATTTGCCAATAAATAAAATCGGATTAGGCCTGATACTGATACTTGTTTCGGGAGAAAAGTTTCGGCAGTTTATGTATTTTATTAATTTAACAAATCAGAGAAAATCACCATCCAGACATCCACAGTATAGTTAAACATACTAAGTTGGAAGCACTGTTATTTATAATCTACTCTAAATAAGCAGCCGTCGCGACTGTTTGAATACCAAACTGCAAACTTCTTATCATCTGACAAATTTAATGATGAGTTCGAAATATTTGCGTCAATGCCCGGCCTCAGTTGAAGCCACATGCCACGATTTCGCCGTAGAGACCACGCCTATATTCCACTATATCTCCGACGTGGCGGCTATCAGTTCCCCCACTATGGACTTTGCTTCTGGCGAAGGGAATTTGAGCTACAGCTTCAGAGGTCTCCAACATCTAAGTTGCTTGCTTAACTCAAGAGAAATCCTATTTATGATAAAGTAACACGTATGGACTTACCGATACAGAGCAGATCACTCAGTGTAATCTGTAACAGAAAAATATCTTCAATAAATGTTTGGTTCGAGACAACTAAGCCAGCTTTTTTCACAGATTGAGAATACACAAAAAAACGCAGATACAGTACATAATAGTAAGGCATGAGTTCGTTGAAATTCACTTTTGATACAAACTGATTAAAATTAGTACAAAAACCTCCACAAAAGTTGCTGTACTGACTACATCGCTCTATCTGATATACGTTATATTAAGAACCAGCTTTCTCACCGTAATAAAAATTCCCAAGCATGGAAGTTAGCTGTCAATTTACTACTCGTAATTACCAATCAAAGATACAAAACGTGATCGGAAGTTTATAGCATTATTTCAAAACAATGTTTTATGTGTGTTTGTTAAATGGGTTAAATGGGGCCTTGGCAGACCGCGCTGTTGCCGGCTTGACGCTCACGGTTTCGGTACTTGCCGCAACAGTTGATTATAAAATCGAGATAAAACCATGAATAAATGCTTCCTCGGATATAAATTAGCAAGTGTACGATTACGTCTCCCCGTATTATACAATACTGAACGCTCACCAAACCCGTCGGCACCACGCCGGGAGCAGAAGCAGACGCTGCCGGAAGCCGGTAGGTACGCGATCTGCCTGCTTTTTCCAAGCTTTAAGGGAGAATTCCATGATATATGGAATATCTCCAATATGTGCTGAGAATTACCAAGGTTGGGAGCATGTAAATATACAGACATCAAAAAAATGAGATACCCTGCCACAACCCCCTATTCTCAGATTTTTCACCATTAAAAATGTTTTCAAAAATTATCAGAATCCTCAGAAACGTCAAAAACAAAAAGTATGAGCATTTTTTTTTCATTTTTGGCCTTTATCTTCGCCCTCATTGAACCGATTTTCAAAAGCTACAAAGCTTTTTCATCCTTGGCATAGTGGTAACATTGTGTCGACATGGCTTTTCGTAATGTTTATCTCATAAAACATCCAGAAAACATAATATCTCAGTTTAGAAAAATTTTGCGAATCCAGTACGTCCCCGCCAGCAGGTCACATTGAGGTATTTTAAGCTACTAGAAACCCTTAACGAAGCTGAGTAACTTCGAAATATGAACATTTTTTAGCTATTGAAAATCCTTGATCAAACTAAGTAACTTTGAAATCACTCTATTCAATATCATAAATCAGGTATCAGGTTGTCGTATTGATCTATTGGCATCAACGGTAATGGACAGATAAGCAAACAAGCTTTTTTATATTTTCACATATGTTTTATAAAAAATGGATTAACCATTACAGCGGGAGAATTGCATATTTTTTCCCAACTCTAATCTCAAAGCTCACCATGAAGGTGTTGCCCAACAACATTTAACTTTGTCCAACAAATAGATATAATAGGCTCGCTAATGGCCGATTCAGCATCTACAAGGTTTTTTGTGGCAGCTCGCGACACGGAAGCGTTTCAACCAGCAAAACACGCAACTGAATAGGTCTGTTGGGTACGCATATTGTCAGTCACATCCAGAAAGGAAACGTTTGAACGTGCTGCGTATGTGAGGCGTCTCTTGCTTCGTTCCTTGATTGGGTCAACGTTCATGTAATTTCATTTCAAGAGGTGATGACATTCAAATGTCGTGTTTTTCCTATTTTCATATTTCGGGCAACTATATTCTAACTTTGCGGTTACCTAAGTACCGGTAAGTAAGACAAAGGGGACTGTCATCAGCAAATCTGGAAAGCAACTTAGCGGAGCAATATTTTAGTATAATCAGTGTCAGAGAGAATAAACACCCAGTAAAAATGATTTTATTTGAATGCAAATTTGTATACAAACGACAATCATGGGCGTGTACGCAATAAAGGAACAGGAGCAGAAATGGAAGGATTGTTAACCCGAGCGAGATACGTTTCTGCTTTTTGGCTTCATCGAAAACACTGAATTGAAAACATATGACAATCACACCTGGATACGGGTGTAACCAGAAGAAAAACAAGAATTAGAGAAATCTAGTGATATCGTAAATGTTTTCACTTCAAAATTTAATCACGACTTCCTCTTGGTTACTGTATTCAAATGAAATTTTTTGTTACTGAGTATACATGCAACTGACACCAACCGTATTGGTTTGGAACAGATGGGAAATAAAAATGAGATAAAAAAAATGGCGTCAAGTAGATTGACTCTATACTTCCTACGCCTTCGCTGGAGGTTTCAAAGAAGCCAAATCGCTCAAAACGCGAAATTGAATCGCGATTACGTAAGTTTACATAGGTACGATTAATTCTCGACATCTGCATATCAAACTATATAAAATAAATCTATGATATTTCTGTTTCCATGACAGATAATATAAGGTATTTCACTGACACCAAACACGCAACAATTTACAACCATTTACCGCATACAGCTTCCTACCTACAATTTTCATTCCTTCCAAATAATGTGTGAGAATGAGCACGAATCTCTAAAACGTTAAAACACTATGGGATTTTATTTCCGTCGCCATTGAATCAGTTTTCAAAATCTACGAGTACCTAAACGATGGACGTAATTAACTCGCGATAACACTAGAACGACGGTTAACAAGTTTTCTGTTGCTTAAAGATATCTTCATTACAAGAGCTGTAAAGGTTTTTCATCCTTGGCATAGTAGTAACCTTGTGTGAGAATTTCATGAAAATCTGATCCGGACTTCTCAAGTTATAGGTGGTTATAGTTACTAGCGGATACACAGACAGACAGGCCGACGTAAATGAGTGACATAATTTTTCGTGATGTTCATGTCATACAGCATCCAAAAAACATAATATCTTAATATTTCTCGCCAGATCTAGCATATGAGGTAAAATGATCCCTGTGGGAGGTGCGCGTTGACATCTGGGACGCATGTAAAAGCGACGACTCGACAGGGAAGAAAAGCTACCCATCAGCAAATCTCGAAACCAGCTTAGCTGTGTATTATTTAAATACGTCATCTGCTTTTATCATCTCGCTCTAATATAGACATCGCTCCACTTTTGACCAGACACCAACCAGCGTTGCGGTGGGAAGCAAAAACGAAGGGAAAAGGAACAAAAGTGCTTCGTGCTTATCGGGAATTTTTATTGTTACTTTGAAAAGCCTCTGAGCGGTATTTCTGTCTCCCTTCCTCTCTCCTTCTTTCCTGTCGCCTATTTCAGAGGAGCGGTTTTTCATCTGGCTTTCCTGGAAAACTCTAATATAGCCGCGATGGAAATAGTCCGGCTACTACACCCTGAGAATTTTGATGATACCCTTCTCAACTTATTTTGCTAGAAAAAACTTCCAGTAAGAACACCGATAAAATCTATACATGTAAAAGCTATTTGAGCATCTGTATCTGATACCTTCCCTTGTGTTTAGTCTGAAGACAATCCATAGACAGGTTCTGATATCTAGTTATTTCATGTCACAATTTTGAAATTGAAATATGCTACTCAAACAAGAAGCTACAAAAAAATGGCGTCAAGTAGGTTGACTCTGCACTTCCCATGCAACACTGTCATTAGTTCATAAAGAAGCTTATTCGGCACAAGTTATCCCGTCTGAGAATAAACTTGCCTTCAAACATGTATACAAGATGAATAAAATAAAAAAATATTTTCAAAAACAAGCTTTTATTTAGTTGTTCGTAAACTGAACCAAAAACTTAAGCATAATTTTTCTCATTGGACACATTTAATCGATAATGAGCTTAGCTTATTCTGTTTCTCCCTTCAAGCCTTTTTATGCCTTGTGATACGGGGTTACTATGGAAATGATGAATTGCCATTTAGTAGCATCCACCATATTGGATTCAAATTCGCCCTCTTTTTCATTGTCACGCAAACCAAACGTGTTTACAAAGTTTTAGCTCAAGTGGTTAAGGTTAACTGGTTCAAAATTCAGTTCCAATATTTGTCTCACACATGAATACACAGATCTAGTTAAATGTAAGATTGTAAAAAATTGAATTGATTTAGGCCCAATTTTACCAACATTAATATTATGGACCAATGGGAAAATACCTTATCGAAATGCAATTTAACAGAAGCTGTCAAAGGTCTCTCAATATCAGTGATTTTTATTAAAATATTGAATAAAATCGTGAAACTTCGACTGTATTATCAACAAGACCACTTTTTGATTCCAACATGATTCTTTTGTACAGAAAAAACAGGACAACTTTCATGTATTTTGATATATGTTATAGGTTTACATTTGACAATCCTTTATCCCCTCAGCGAATGGGAATGCGGCAAATAATAGGTCGATTTTATAGCTGTTAAATTTGGCAGCAGCTTTGGACGTTTGTTAATGCATGGCAATCTCGAATTTGCTAACTTCAATATACTGAGTATTATCATTACATACCTGTTGAATAGTTTGGATTTGTCTGTATTTTGCAAGAAAATACAATATACTTGTAAAATACATTCCATCCACTTCCTCATCTTCCTTTAAAATTTTACATCATACTAGTAATCATTTATTAATTTATGGGTTAATGAACTTCTTCAAAGCAATAAAAACATTATGTCCTCTCCATCCTAAAACACGGATAATATGTGTAGGACGTGTCAATCCCTACATCTCCCTGATGCATAATGCAATTACTATGGACATAGACAAAAAATTATGAAACATGTTTCACAAATAATGTCTTTAAGTCCAAAAATCATAAAAACTAGTAATGTTTATTGTTTGATTGTCTTTTTGACTGGCGGAGATATCTATCTGTCACCCGCAGGGTTGCCAAGTCTAACGACGATCACGCCCCGTGGTGGAGGGTGCAAAATGAATCTTTCACATTTGCTGGTTTTGAATTTTTTCGTGAAACATTACTAGGTATCATGATAATAGGCATCTTTGGTAGATTGTTCGATGCGGAATGAGAAAGATCTCCTATTTATGAAAATATTTTTGGTATCATCTAACCGTTGCAATCAGTGCACTGTGACATATGATTTATAGCATAACCCGCTGCCCTATCAATACAAATTTAACATACAGGTCGCCTAGCCGT